AGTGAGTAGGGCAGAAATGAAGACATTCTAAAGAGACACTTGTGTCCTTCAATCTGACTATCAGGCTATTGAAATAGTAGACTCCAAGAAATTGGAATTTCCCCAGAAATTTCATGCTGGGAGAACGAAAAGGCTGAGGCCTGGACCTGTGACAGGAGAGTTTGTCTTCTGAAAAGAGAGTTCTCACAGTTCTGACAAATTGTCAGACCACATTGCAGGAGAAACTGGGGCTGAGGCAATGATGGGTACAAGGTGAGCAGGACCACACCAGGACCAGGACTGTTTAGATGTGCAGGTCCCTTCATTTAAACTTCAATCTCATTTTGTTACCAAAGTTGGATTGGAGATGGTTGCTGGATCTCTGCCTCTCTTCTCAATGCGTCCACATTTAATAAATTTACTTCCTCTCCTTTTTACTAGTAATTTGGCTGTTTAATTGGCTACTTGAGGAAAGGCGGCCAAACCTGGCTTCTTGGGGTATAGACGGTGACCCCCAAGGTCCTTAACACTGTGTCTGATCAGCCTGCACAGATTGTGCTAATTAGTATCCCGAATGGCAGTATCAGTGGCCTGTGGTACTTCTATGAGCTCATTATAAGGTACATTTGGATTCTAAAAGAAAATAAAACTGCATTTTAACATGACTTCTTAGAACCTGATTGTCTTTGTGAGAAATTTTTTTATCTTTGCATGTGAGTGTGTGTCTGTGTCTGTGTGGTGTGTATGTTTGGGGGGTGAGCCTGTGCACACATATGGAAGTCAGAAGACAACCTTAGTTGCCAGTCCTTGGCTTACACTTTGCTTGAGTCAGGGTCTCTTGTTCTCCAACAAATGCACCAGTCTATACAGGCCAGGAACGCCCCAGTTCCTCCTGCTTCCACCTCCTGTCTCTCCACAGGGCACTGGGCTTGCAGTTGTGCACTAATGTGCCCACCTTTACATGGGTTCTGAGGATCTGAACTTAAGTCTTCACAGATGTGTGCCAAGTACTTTACGCATCTAGCCATGAGAAGTTTTTTTTTTTTTTTTTTTTTTAATTAAAAAAATCTCTTGGGCTGGGTATGGTGGCACATGCCTTTTATCCCAGCACTCAGGAGGCAGAGAGCAGGTGGATCTCTGTGAGTTCAAGGCCAGCCTGGCCTACAAAGTGAGTTCCAGGACAGCGGGGGCTGCAGGGAGACCCTGTCTCAAAAAGACCAAAAACCAAAACAAAACAAGACAAAAAGACTCTGTCTAATCTCTGTTAATGTGAATTGACCATCTACCTATCATCATATCTATGCACCTATCATATATCTGGATTTCTACCATGCTAGAAATTTAAATATTTATTTATTTTTATTTTATGCGTATGAGTTTTTGCCTGCACGTATGTAAGTGCACCCACCACAGGCATACATCTAGGTGGAGGCCCGAAAAAGGCATTGGGTCCCCTGGAACTGGAGTTACCAATAGTTGTTGCCTGTCGTATGGTGGCACATGCCTTTAATCCCAGTACTCAGGAGGCAGAGGCAGGTGGATCTCTGTGAGTTCAAGGACAGCCTAATCTACATAGTGAGTTCCAGGAACAGCTAGGACTACGGGGAGACCCTGTCTCAAAAGACCCCCCACCCGAATCTCTTCTAATGGTTGCTAGAATTTTTCCAAATTAACTAAAATTGTTAACATATATGATCAGCAGTAAATCAAATCATCTTCCTTCAGTGGTCAAGAGTGGGAGGCGATGCAAGTTTCTGGAGTCAGATTGCAAAAATGACTGCAGGTTCCTGTAAACACTCCAAACACTGCAATCCATCTCCTGAATGTGCAGCGTTTAAAAGTGGAGTGAGATATTTATGTTAAGAAGCCGGAGAATTTTACTCAACAAAATCCTTCTCTAAGATATGGAGACCTCCTGGAATGACTTTGAAGTGAATTTGGCATAATGCCTGAGCAAGAATACTTATTAATAGCTTCCCAGGAATTCAGCTAAGGTCATCTGAGCCTAAGTTCTCAGGGAGAAATTTCACATATCTTTAATTTAAATGTTAAGATTCTACTATTTAATCAATTAATTTGTGTGTGTGTGTGTGTGTGTGTGTATGTGTGTGTGTGTGTGTATGTGTGTTCAAGTGTGTGTAGAGGACAGAAGTCAACCTCAGGTGACTTCCTCAGCTTGCTAATTCAGCTAGGCAGGCTGTCCAGCAAGCCCTAGAGATCTGCTTTGATTAGAAATTTGGACCACCAATCTCAGCTCTGTATGTGAGGGCTGGGATGGAACTCAGGCCCTCAAGCTTGCAGGGCAAGCACTTTAATGACTGAGCTATCTCCCCAGCCATTCAAATATGCCTTACTATTACTATATGTAAATGCATCGGGGAATTCACTCACAACTTCACACATCCCTCAGCATTACATACTGAAGCATCTTTCTTCTTCTGATAGTAAATGTATCAAATCATTCTCCAAAACACCTTGGTCTATATGTCAGATATTTAGCATTATTTCTCAGATTGAATGAGCGTGGCTCAATTCTTTCCTTATCCCAGGGCCAATGACGACAGTAAGGGCTTCTAAGATGACTGCGGCTAGCCTTTTCAATTCTTGGTCACATTAATGTGGATAAGTTACAAGCTTCATAAAGACTCAATTTCCTTATGTATCATGTAGAATATTAATATCTTAGGGCATGGAGAGATTGTTTGCTAATGAGTATAGAACACGTAGTATATTCTTGGAACTTTTACATACAGTTTAGACACAAAGAGAATTTATTCAAACCTGGAAAGAAATCATTTTTAAGCTGCACATGGTGGCTCATCCTTTTATCTCAGCACTCAAGAGGCTGAGGCAGGGAGATCTCTCTGAGTTAAGGGTTACAAAGTGAGACTCTGTCTCAGGAAAAAAATCACCATTGTTTTCATGTTATGTCCTTATTTTGTAATATTCACAGTGACAAACTTTTATGGAAAACAAGTTTCCCCCCAGAAAAAAAGACCTGAGTCAAAGGGTGGTACATACGTAGCTGATTTTGGAAAGTAATTCTAAGTTATTAGAATTGGGGTTATGACTTGGGGAGAAGAGGAGTGTTTAGTTGTGGTCAATGGGGACCCAAGGAACCGTCCAAGAACTGTGCATTACATCTGCAGGAGAATCTACTGTTACCTGTTTCTGTCTTTTAGTAACTGGATTAACATGGAGGACTTAATGCCTTCTTATAGGTTGGTACTGTGCTAGTGATGAGTATTGGTTCTAACACACAGCCACACCAAAAACAGAATGTTGAAGTAAGCCATCACTGCTGAGGTCAGATTACACTGCTCAATTCCAGGTGCTGCAAGAGGTTGTCCAGGGTGTGAAGATGGACAAAGCATAGCTTATACAAGATTCTGAAATGGAAGGCATGTGCCTTCTGGACCCGAGACTTGGGAGTAATTCATTTTTTTGGCAACATTTAATTTTTAAAACCTTTTTATTTTACTTATTTTTATTTATTTATCTTTTATGTGTATGAGTATATTGCTTACATGTAAGTAACTGCAACCATGTCATGCAATGCCCACAGATTAAGAACAGGGCATCAGATACCCTGGAACTTGAGTTATAGATGGTTGTTAGCCTCCATGTGGGTTCTCAGGAATCAAACCTGGGTCCTTTGCAAAAGCAGCCAGTCTGCTTTACCACTGAGCCATCTCTACAACTCTTTAAAGCTTTTTTTAAAATTATTTTTTGACTGTATGTGTATGTGCCTGCTTCTCTGCACAGGCACTGCATGCATACAGGTTCCCACAGAAGTCAGAAGGTAGTGTTGGCATTACAAGCACATATGAGCCTCCTGAGGTGGGTGCTGGGAACAGAACCCAGGTCCTCTGCAAGGGCAGCAAGCACTCTTAACCACTGAGCCATCTCTCCAGTTCCATAAACCTTGCTTTAAAGTTATTACTTGATGGACAGTAGCTTAAATAATTCTCTACCCGGTAGAGACGAATGCTTGAGTGTTTTGGGAGGGCAATGGCTTGAGTAATTACCCATATGGTTACCAGTGCTTAAGTTCCTCATTCATATAACTCTACAGCCACAAGACCTCTGACGGTGATGTCTATGTGCAACTGAAGTATAGAAGATCCTTAGGGTGATGAGCTTAGTTGCATTTGTTGAACAGTATCTCCACCTTTTCATTCTTAGAGAACATAAAACAACAAGTCTCTCTGTTGTGGTTTGAATGTGAAATGACTCCCACATGTCTCTATGTTTGAACACTTGGTCCCAGCTGGTGGTGCAGTTTGCGTAGGTTATAGAACTGTAGGAGATAGTGTCCCTGGAGGTGGTGGGTCACTGGGGTGGGTTTTGAGGTTTTATAGTGTGGCCCTAGTTCTTATTCTTTCTGTTTCCTATGTGTGGATGAATTCTGATCTCTCTGCTTCCTGACTGACAGGTTGGTCTTGCTCTTCTGGTGTCATGACTTTAACTCTCTGGAACTGCAAATGAAAAGAAATACTTTCTTCCCTAAGCTGATTTTGGTCATGGTGTTTTAGCACAGCAACAGAAAGAAACTAATATGATTCTTGAGCTCTGTTTGCTGAGTGAGTAATTCTCTTGATGGAAGTGGAAAAAGAAAAAAAAAACTTTGGTTTTCAAAATCACTTCGAAAGGTTATGTTTGTCTCTGAGTTAATACTGCTTATATGTCTTTTTATAGAATTGTTAGTTCCTCTTGAAGATTTTCTTTAATATTAAAGACAAAAAACTAATACATGGAAAGAATGCCAATGGACTCTCAGAAGCATAATATGTGTAAAGTCATTGGATTATAACTGAGGCAAAGTATAAAGGACTAATCCAGTTCCAAGATTCCACTATTTTGTGATTTTGTAATAATAAGCGTTTTCTTTATCTATAATGGCCCTGTTATGAAAACCAAAAGAATCAGAGATATGATCATTTTCAATCTTCCTATTAAACATCATGTTTTCATGTGAGATCCATTGATACCATGAGGTTAAAGGGGTCCCAGACAAGTCTCTTTCACATTACAAATTGTATTAAATTAATTGAAAAATAGATAAACAATGATAATAACCATAAAACAAGAGATATGATGAACAGTAAAAGGTAAACACTTTTTAAATGCTACTCAAATAGACATTCAATAAATCCACATCTTTCAGACAACATAATTATTCGCATCATAAAAAACTCTAGTGGTTGAAATCTAAAATATTGATTAAAAAGCTTCAGTTGGATTTCAAATCAGCCTAAAAAGAAATTTCCATCTTAATAAAATAGGCAAAACTTTCCTTGGAAACATTACAACCTATTTTGTTAAAAAATGTGTTCTCTATCCTTGAAAAAGACCTAAATGGGTCTTTCTGGAGAGATCGTCTTTCCCATATTAAATTGAATCTAATAGAGCAGAGAAGGTAAAAGAGCATTCTGAAGAAAAGAGGGAGACTTAGCCACAGATTCCCAGGACTTCATATGCAGAATTCTGGGCTGGTCCTTTGACAGAGCAGGAGGGTGACTAAACAATTTCCTGACTTGTAAAATTGCTGTCCCCCACCCCCACCAGGTTTTCAGTGGCTATGACAACCCAGCTTTCCTTATGATCATTTTCTTTTAAACCATGAAAACATTACAATACTTGGATTTTTCTGAGCATCAAAGCTTGGTTCAGAGTTTTAGACATCTTTTGAAAGATCCCTGACTTGGAGTACAAACACACTCCAATTTCAGTCACCGCAATTAACATTCTCATGACTGAAGCTCCATACAGTTAAGTTTATTTTCCATTCTCAGTAACTCCTGAAGTTGACACTGCATAGGAATTGATGCCTTGTGTGTCTTCCATTCAAATGAAATGCTGGATACTGTTGTTTGTGAATTTCTTGGCCAATGAAGAAGTAAGATTTCACTTCTTATTCTTACCACAAGGGTTCAACTTAAACAGCAACAGATGGACTGTGCAGGCATGGAATACTAAACAGACTCGGGAACGATGAAACAATTCAGATCTTTGCTTTTACAATGAAAATGAGGATTGATTCTGTACTGCACTGGGAGTTGGAAGTAAAAGGACCTAATTTTTAAAAAAGCCTTCTCCATCAAAAGGGCAAAATGCCACTCAGTGGCACTGCATGTTTTTAACAAAATTTCTTTATCAGAAACTATAGTTTAATATTTAAGTATCTAATTTACATGTGACAAGGTATTATATCCAAAAAAGTAAACCGCAACTAGAAAACTATTAACCACTAAAAACAATACCAAACACAACCCAAACATTTATAGGGAAGCAGTAGCTAGAATTTGAACTGGAAGAAAAATGGTTTCATCATATTTGGCTCATTAAAAATGAAGCATCCATTACAGCTTGTAAAGGAGCATCCTTTGCAATTCATCAAAATTTATCCTTTGTAGCATGAATAACATATAAAGGTAGACTCACTGTCTGCTTATGCACACATCTGTGTATATATGTATATATATATAATATTATGAGACATACACTCATGTGTGTTGATTTAAAGATATTTTATCTACTGACAACTGCCTGAACTTTGGAAGGTGCTGAAATCTGTATTTCTACATAGCCTTTGACTCATTTAAATGCCTTGTAAAAACAGAAATGTATGTAAAATACTCTGTTTTTGTTTATTAACTGAATATTTTCTTAAGCATCATAATAGACAGTGAGAGAATTGCACTTATTATAAAGGTACATTAATGTGTTAGATTGCAGCTCAGCCATCAAGGATCAGAGACGATGGTACTGATGGTAAGTAATGCACTGTAAGCAAAGGTGACGGTGGCCATGGAAATTAAAGTAAGAGTAACTAGTTACAGAACAAAAGGGAATAACAGAAGAAAACATGCACTATTCCTACTTCAATGTGAAACTAAGTCTTTTTTTCCCAGGAAACCAACCCTTGGAATTTCCTTTTACAACAAAACACCTTCTGTACCCTTGGCAACACAGTAGACATGGACTTTTGTCTTCAAGTTCTAGGTCATTGTCTGAGTGTGCTGTTGCAGTTTCATCTCTTCAAGCTGCCCTTGGAATTCTGGAGCATCTACAACATGACAGTCTCTTGGTTAGATTTCATTGAGCCTCAATACCCCCTTCAGTTCCATATAAATAGGGTCCATTATTCATCTTCTTCTGGTTCCTGTGGTAGCACGGGTATTTCTTCCTTTAAACAATCACTGAAGAATCTAAGGATTGTGCTGTACAAATGATGCTTGCTTTTTTCAGATACGTGATATCCTTCATCTGGATAAACCTAAGACATTGGCGAAAAAAATATGAAATCAATTTACTCCTAGGCTGGGGCAAGAGGTTGCTCAGCCTAGGCCAACTGCAGTAATCTCTTACTCTCTGTAATCTCACAGCTCCTGTGAAAGAAATGGCAGGTACCCTACCAGTGACTGTCTGTAAGTCTGTAATTCCCATTTGCCCAAAGGAAGTGGTACTAAGCTCCCTAAGCTATCAGGGCTAAAAGTGGCACATCCTAAATATTGGACACACATTAAGTAAAGGAGTGAATCATTCTCCCTTCCCCTGCAGCCTTGGAATTTCAGACAACTTGATTCAACCAGGTACTATGGGCTGTACATCAACCACAAAGCATGGGACCTCTCTCTCCTCTTAGAAACTTGTAAGAGATGACCCCTAGAAAATTATGACAGCATTCTTCTGAATAAGTGGCTTACCTGCATAGTATAATTCACCCCAGCTTTTATTAGATGCTTGATGAATTCTGCTGAATGCTGGAAATGAACTTTTGCTGTAAAACATTAAATTACAATATGTGAAAGAAAGAAATCTGTTAGCATCAGAAAATTTTCAAACTTTTTTGAAAATCAGTAAGTACTCTCTATTGTATACTTGAAAGACCCATCATTAATTTTTAATTAAAAAGTTGTTACACGTAATACTAAAGTTTTCCCTTACCACTATAAAATATAAAACAAGTATGAGAACTATTTGAAGATTTATTAACTTTATATGATGTGCTTGTGTGGATGCATGTGTGTACTGGTGTGTGTATGTGTGTGTGTGTGTGTGTGTGTGTGTGTGTGTGTGTGTGTGTACAGCTTCAGAGCTTCAGATGTTATTCCCAGGTGACATTCACTTATTATTTGAGACAAGGTCTCTCATTGGCCTGGAACTTTGCCAAGCAGGCTAGATTAGCTGGCCAGTGAGCTCCAGGGATCTACCTCTCTCTGTCTAGCATGGTAAAGCCAGGGATGGAATTCTAGGTGTGTACCACCCACTTGAATTTTACATGCATTCTGCAGTTCCAAACTCTAGTTCTCACACTTGTGAAGTAAGTGCTTTACCAACTGAGTCATATTCCCAGCCCTATAGGATGATGCCATTTAGATCTTATTTATAAGATATCATTTTTTATTTTTCATTGATTATATATTTATAATTGATAAACATTTAATATACCGTACTCTCATCTGAGGACTTCTAGAATCCAGTCTCATCTAGATACTGGCATTCTGTTTTATTATTTTATTTTGTTTGTTTGTTGTTGTTTGTTTGTTATTTGTCTTTTTGAGACAGGGTTTTCCTGTAGTCCCAACTGGCCTAGAACTGGCTATGTAGACCAGTCCAGCCTCAAACACACAGAGATCCACCTGTCTCTGCCTCCCAAGTGCTGGGATTAAAGGCACGTGCCACTATGCACCTGCTTTATTTTAAATTAGAACTGAGGGCCATTGAGATGACTCAGCAGGTAACGGCACTTGATGCCAAGCCTGAAAACCAGAATTCAATCTCTAGCATCTACATGTTGGAAAGAGATAACAGACTCCCAAAAGTTATCTTCTGACCCTAGTAAACATCACAACATGTGTGTACACACATACACACATGCAATAAGTAAATATGATGTAAAAAATTGTGTAGAACTGAATGCCCCATAAGAAAATTGAGCAAATGGGTTATCCCAGTGCTAAATATCTGATGCAGAGCAAACTGTTTTTCTCTCCTTTCCATCTGTCTTCCTCCTGTTCAATATAAAGTCCAAATGCTTTGAAATAAACATCTCGGTAGCTTGGGATCTGGCAGCAGCGGTGTCGGAGCTAGCTATGAATGCTCAGATTTGTCACTCTATTCTATGTTGTAATTTGTTTGTATGCTTCCTGGCCTATTTCTTTTGTAACCTGGTGTTTCTTAAGATTTCCATAAATAACTTTAAGCTAACATGTTGCATCTGTCTTTGCCAAACCATAGCAGTCTTACTGGTAATCTGAGCCTCCCTAAATTCTCAGTCTATGATGCTGAATAATCTTACTACACAGAAGAGGGCAAACAATTCCAAATAATCCACTAAATTTATTTCAAATATACTTAAGATCTTTCTGAACATTTTCTTATTATAATTATTGGGAAAAATTATCAAATCTTAAGTCTAAACTGCTTAGAAAATGTAAGTTACTAAAAAAGTTAAGTAATATGAACAAGGACTGAGGTAAAACTCATGTGTTATTGCAGGGAAGATATATGTAAAGTGCTCTATCATGTCTGCATTTGAATATGGCCAAAAAGATAACTATGCAAAATAATTATTTTTGTGTATGATGAATATTTATGTGGCAG